GTCATGAGTAGACCAGTGTCTATTGGTATACAGCCTTCTGCTAATCCCTTGTTATCTCAGGCTATAATAGCATCACCAGCTACTGTAGGTCTTTAATGTCTTATGCTCAAGCCTATCGCCAACAGGTTAAAGAAGCTTTCCTGGATCCCAATTCAAAGTGTCCTGTTGGTTATAGTTTGGAGCCTTGTGACTGGGTATTCTGGAAGCATCATCAGAGGAAGGTAGCCCTCGAGCCCCACTGGAAGGGACCTTGCCAAGTACTCCTGACCACTGACACTGCTGCAAAACTAGAAGGCACTGAGCCTTGGATACACATCTCACGGTCAAAGAAGGCTTCACCTGACTCCTGGTCCTGTACAGATGCTGGAGACCTATGAGTCAAACTGATGAGGAAGAGAAGTAGCTGACATCAACGTAGACCACTTTCACCTAATTCACCAGACCAAGACTTCACACTTAAACCAAAAACGAAATCTTTTCTTCTTTTCTTGTTCCTTTACTCTGGCATTGGCCTGGAAAGATGATGGCGTCAGCTACACCATCCAGGTCATTGCTAAGGGGCAGGGGTGTAACGTTTCAGACTAGGGATTTGCCATCACTCTGATCTGTTCATCTTAGCAGAAGTGGTTTATGCCCCACAGGATTTTTGTCTGTGGTAGTTATCATTTTCCTAGGTTGTTGGTACATAACAGGGCAACCCGTGAGGTTATGTACCTGTGTCTCGAACTTCACAAACTGAGATGCCTCATTGGTCAACTCCCCCTGAACTGACATTGTTGAGGTAGAAAGGACCTACCAGAAAGTTCTTCATGATTCAGGATTTACTTCCTTTGGCAGGTCCTCACTTCCCTGGTTAGGAGTAAATATAAATGAGGCTCTAATCAGGAACCTCTCCCCAAGCTCTAGAAAATATTGCAAAATCCACTGTGAAAGCAATAACTGCCTAACTAAAATCCTTAGATTCTCTGCCCAAAGTTGTTCTTGACAATAGGATGACCCTTGATTATCTTTCAGCTGAGCAAGGAGGTGTCTGTACTGTGACCACCATCACCTGCTACACCTGGATTAACACTTCAGGGGAAGCTGAAACCCAGGTACATTAAGATCACTGAGCAAGCCACTTGGCTCAAATAGGTGACTCCCTCAACAGGGTTTTTTTTTTTTTTTCATTTGATTTTGATTGGTTTGGGACCATGGCTCTAAAGTATACTCTAAGCATTGGAAATCATCCTGTTAATAGTTTTCATAATACTCTCCCCGGTGCATTGTGTTCTCTTAAAAGCTTTAGATGTGTGTTTGAAGCCTCTAACCACCAAGCAAATGATCTACCCAAGATGGGAACACCAGAAAAAAACAACAAAGAGAATGACTGACTTAAAGATTGTGAACCTGAAGCCATGATCTGTGAGTATGAACAGAGATTAAGGAAAAACATTGGGACCTGTGAATATCAAACAGAGGATCAGGAAAAGCCATAAGAACTACAGAATAGCAGCTGAGAGTGGCGCTACTGCCTTACATTTTGATCACGTCTCTCAGTCAAGCTGAAAGTCTGATCAAAAGAGGGGGAATTGTTAAAGAGAAAACCACAGGCCCCAAATGAAATCACTTGTGCTAAAGCCCATGACATTGAACCTAGACTCAATAGCTGACATAATTGCAGTTTCAACCTTCTCCAGGAATGTAATCTTAATTGGTCTGTCTGGAATTTTCTGGTCAGTACTAATGAGGTAATCTATCATGTGGCCCCTCTCCATCTACCCCTAGCCCTACCCCCAGGAAGCTGTGGCTGTCTACCTGATAAGACAAACCCTGCCTTGCCTTAAGGCAGTGGTTCTCAACCTGTGGGTCGTTACCCCTTTGGGGGTCGAATGACCCTTTCACAGGGGTCGCCTAAGACCATCGAAAAACAAAAAGATACTTACATTATGATTCATAACAGTAGCAAAATTACAGTTATAGAGTAGCAACGAAAATAATTTTATGGTTGGGGTCACCACAACACGAGGAACTGTATTAAGGGGTCGCGGCATTAGGAAGGTTGAGAACCGCTGCCTTAAGGGAAGGCAACCTGGCCTGCACAATCCTTTCTTTTCTTTTGCTAATAACGTTCTTGTCCTGCCCAGTTTCTGACAGGCAAGGCCATATTGTTCAGCTTCTCAGAGCATCTCTCCACCCGCCAGATGGGATTCTGCTGGATCCATGAATCTCTCAATAAAGCCAATTAGATCCTCACATTTACTCAACTGAATTTTTGCTCTTTACAGGGAAACCATATTTGCCCGGGCCCAGGAAAGGAAGGCGGCGCTCGCCCCTCCTCCTTCCAGCCTCTGGCCTCCACAGGCGCCTCTCCGATGACACCTCCCAAATTACATGGGTTGTGGGGTCTTAGTGCGGCAAGTACCCTTCTTCCTGGTCTAGAAAAAGCTGCTGATTATCAGGAGGGCTGATGCCTGACATAATAATTAAGTGGCCGTGAAGCTGGGGTCTCCGAACATGTGGCCTGGGAAGGGCTCCTAAATCTTCCCCCTGGGCCCCTTGGCCTCCTCTCAGGTGAAGCGCCCAGCCATCACCCACCCCCTCCGGAGTCCTTTAGTCTTCTCACCAAACAAGGTGGGCTGGAGAGGACAGGTGAGGAGGAGAGAGGAAGTGCTTCGGTTCCCAGATTCTGGGAAAGGGTTTAAAGTCGGCCTGAGGTCAAGGAGGGGACCCTGTGGGGTTTCCATTTTCCTTCTCCCCTGGAAGAAATTGCAAGACAAGTGCTGGTGCCTGCCCGCCCTTCCTTATGAAGGGAGAACTCTCCGCAATACGCGCAGTCTTTTGTTGGCGCGTGAAACGGGAGCTCTTCACTCATTAAGCCTCTTAAAGGCTGTCCGCCTCCTTTCCATCCAGGTTTGTGGGTTTGTGGGAGACGCAGCTAGAGGTGGGCCCCCAGGCAGTGATCTTCTTGTTAAATGGCTCTCCAAGAGCACAAGTGAAGAGCGGCAGCCTGAGGGCCACGTGTGCAGGGGTCTGGACCTACAGATGCTGGCTGAGGTGTCAGCGCTGCCCAGATACAGACACAGGTCCTGGAAAAAATATGGTGTAACCAAGAAATGGAGCTGGGGAAAAGGGGTGAAATGAGCACCCCAGGATCAGGTTCCTTCCAACAAATGCACAAGACAAAAACAAAAGCGTGAGCAGCAGAAACCAAGACGCGGGGGGCCTTTACTCAGGAAGCTGCTGGGAAGCCCTTGCTGCGAGCCCTGCTCCAGGCTCCACTGGGAACGGCACCCTCCAGGGGGGCTGCAAGGAAGAATGCGGCCAAGGGGAGCTCAGCCATGAGCTTCTGACATTCTCACCGAGTCCTTCATGAACTGTCCCTTTAACATCTGAGGAAACTGAAGCCCAGGTGAGGCAGTGCCCAGGCGGCTATTTTCATAGCAGAGTCAGGGTTTGAACTCGAGGCTTCTAAACCTAAGCCTAACACGATTCCCACTCTACTTTTCATTGTTCAGATACAACATGGTTCCTTCCATGTGACTAAGAATATATTGTTCTATAAAGAAAAAAACAGGTTTTTGAAAGCCTTGCTGGCTTTATCCTCTTTACCCTGAATTTCCTGCTAGGCACGCTCACGGACTGAGCACTTTTAACTATATCCCAACATAGATGGTTGGTTTGGCTGGAGAGGCTCCTGCCTGCAAACGCTGAGTGGCCAAGACATTCTCTTCTTGGCCGGCATGGGATTCACTCGTTTCTAGTCCCATGAGTTCAGGCTTCGGGAGCCCATGTTCGTAATCCCGACTGGCTACTCTCACAAAAGATATCCTTTTGCACTGACCACAGTTACCTGGGTGAAGAAGGAAATGCTCCCTTAAAACACCTAAAATGCTCACCATCAGACGGTAACGTAAGGACAAGGCAGTGAAATGCCAGAACGAGCACAGAGCTGGGAATAATAACAGTCGGGATTTGGTCCCAGGTGTGTCGCTAGTGGCTGGGCAACCTCAGCCAAGGCGCCAAACTTCTCTGAGTCTTGGATCCTTCCTTTCTTCCCTTCCCTCCCCTCCCCTTCCTCCTCTCCCCTCCCCTCTCCTTCCTTCTCTCTCTCCACCCCCCTTCCTTCCTTCCTACCTTCCTTCTTTCCTTCCTTCCTTTTTTTTAGGTTTAGGAAGGAGCAAGGGCCATGAAGGAAGGGGGAGACATCATCAATTCTCTTCTGGGGTGTCTCTGACTCCTAAACAAACTCTAGGGGCTGCCCCAGACCCTCCCAAATTCTAAGTGTGGCTCCCGGGAGTAAACAGGGACAGGTGCACAACGAATACACTTCCTGGTCCCCCATGGTTTGGCCCTTGGGCCTGGGGGAGCCAAGCCACCCTAGGAACTGGGAGCTGGTGCAAGCCTGAGCTCCCGTGTGGGCCGTCCGCCAGCCACAGCCACCGCATCCTGCCGGCATCTTCTGTGTCAGCCCTCTTAGCCCTGTTCCAGGTGGACGACCCAGGCTGGCGGGAGGTCATCACAGTAAGGGAAGTGTCATTCTCAATGTGGTCTAAGCCATGCGTTCAAGGACTGGAGAAAGTCATGAGAGGTGAGATGACCTGTGGCACTGACATCTCTAACTCGTCGTGGAGGCTGGTGTGGGTCTTGCATGCGGCTTCCCTTTCCTCGCACGATGGACTGGGGTCTTCCGAGCAGGCCCGCCTGACACTTTTTCAGTGGTGGCTCTGCCTGTCCCACCTGCTTCATCCCTCACTCTGCCCGCCCCACTTCCATGCTAGTCTTGCCTCGTTGGTGCCATGAGAGAGCTGAGCTCTCCTGGATTCTAACGGCGACTCTGCCCAGACGACACCTGTAGCTCAGTGTCCTGGGGCAGTGTGACGCGGGAGGCTTTTCAGCTCAATCCAGTCCCAGACTCACACATGGAGCCTGAACAATGCTCTAAGAGGGGTTTTCCTGAGGAAAGGGCAGCCTGTACCCAAATGAGCTCTTCCCCAGTGGCAGCCCGCACCCCTGCTCACCACCAAGACGTGCTCGAGAAGGTCCAGGTAGCTGAGGGTGCACTCCGTCCCGTACCGCAAGGCTCTGGCACGCACCTCCTCGCTGACGTCAGGGTGGAAGGATGCTTGCTGGAGAAAGAAAGGAGCACCGACATCTTAACACAGGAAGGGTCAGCTGGTGGGTGAACCAGGGGGCCAGGTGGGGTCACCGGCCTAGCCGGCAGTGCTGTGGAGCCCTGGTCCTTTGATTCTGGAACTCTCTGCCTTACCTCAGTGACCTCTGAGGAACCTTCCCTTACTCCCTGGGTAGAGGAGGGGACCCTCCCCCACCTTCCCGTTGCATCCCTTTCTCTCTACAGCAGGCTCTCTGCAAGTTTGTGTCTTGACATTTTTAGTGCCCTGGGGCCAGACAAAAGCAAGTGAATCTGGCCCCTTTCCTTCCTTTCTCCTTTGTCTCTCCCTCCCCCATCCCGCCTTTTATTGACATGTAAGAAATTCCACATGCCCTGAAAAGTCCAGGAAAGATTCATGATTAGGGCTTACAGCAGGAGACACTCTGTCCCCGGGTCAGCCTGCATCTCTTCAGCAACGTGAAGAGTCCTGAACACCCCACCCCGCTCTGTTCACAGGCTAATCATGCCAGGTCCTTGCTCTGTGACGTGACCATGATGGGGTCACAGTGACTCTCCCAACAGGGACCTCTGGTCCTGGGAAACTTGAGACAGCCAGCTCCCCAGTACCCTCAGAGGCGCCTCACATTATACATGTCCAGATAAGCCAACCAGGACATACAGTTAAATCAGCATCTTGCGCTTTTTTTCTTGCCCTTGCGACCTGCCAACTTGAGTCACTAGCAATATATCATTTCAGATGGCACACCCTTTCATGGGGTTGCTAGATTAACTACAGAATGCCCAGTTCAATCTGAATGTCGGATAAACCATAAAAAAATGTTAGCATAAGTATGGGGTGCCCTATTTTTTATTTGCTAAATCCCTCAACCCTACCCATTTTGCCTTTCTTCCTTGGACGGCCTCACTCTGGAAAGAGCTTGGAGGGCTGACAAGAATACATAGAAAACTGCAAATAAATCACAAATCAGGCCACACAGGAATCACACATTAGGATGAACGGTGAAAGCAAAAGGGGGAATAGTGACAGGTTTCCCATTTCTTCCCCTTAAGATCCTTTCTCTAGGATTGGAGAGTGCTGGTGGGACTCTCCCCTTACCTGACACCCTTCCCCCAACCCCGATGGACGGTGTGGGGATAATTCCAGTGGCCAGCTTCTGTCATTTATTCATCCGAGGACTAACAGACCTCAGAGGCAGGAGCCGTGTCATGTTCTTAACCATGTGAAGAGCCATGCTTTTCACCTCCACTGCATTGTCTCGTCCTTGTTTCCTCGTGTCTCCAAGTCTGAGGACTGAGCTCCACGTCTGATTTGACGAGACACTATTGGGGGGAGACGCGGGATCTGACAATACTCAGTGTTGCCTCCAGTAGGTAATGTGCAAGGCCCTCATTTAGAACTGCATGGGAGCTAAGGATGAGGCGCTCCGCCCACTGCGGGTGCCCCTGTAACTTGGTAGGAGCCTTTGGGAGAGCTATCTGGCAATAATTAAATTTCATACCATTTGACCCAGTGATTCTACTTCTGGGAATCTTGCCTAAGGAAATAATCCAAAGCATAGACAAAACAGATGTGCCCAAAAATGTTCCTGGCAGTAAAATTTATGATAAAAAAAAAATTCAGACAATCTAAATATCTGACAATAGGGGAAAGATTATATTCATTAACAAAGTATTTTGTGGTCATTAAAGAGTCAGTTACAATGATGCATAGCAACATAGAAACAGTCATCTAATGTTAATTATAACAGTAGATATAAAATTGTATCTAATGAAAACATATGCACATGAAAGTTAAAGACGAAAAAGAAATAGACACTAGGATTAACTTAGGGTGTAGGGAAACCTTTGTCTCTACCTAAGGAATGAGTGTCATCCTTCCTTTCTGATAAAAGGAACCCGTCTGTAAGTTACTGCACTTCCATTTCTGCCCTGGCTGCCCCGCTCAGCCCCATATGGCAAGTTGGCCTCCGTTCGGCATATAAGGGTTCGTTCTTGATCCACCATTCAACATCTCTGGTGTTCTATATATTCCTTATCGCATATGCACCCCATTTCCTTTCTGCAAAGGGGTGGAAATCCAGGAGACCGAAGGAAATAATAAATGCCAACTTGCTAAATAAATCCCATCCGAACAGGAGTCTCAGGGCTCAGCAGTGACACTTGTCATGAAGTCTGGCTTTGGTGAGTGAAGCTCTGCAAAATCAGGATGACCTGATCCAGGGGCCAGAGAGGAGAGAGGAGCTGAGGCTGGGCCAGCGGCACCTGTCCTTAACCCTTAACCTCCTCCCCAACAAACAGGGGAGTCTGTGTTAAGAAAGTGACTTGAAAACCTGAGCTGCCTGCCATTTAAACTTTAATCATTTTCATTTGTCCTGTTTAATTTCCCTTTCTCATTTCATGTTTGTAACATGGAGACAAAGTATCGGTCACTCACCAACCACAGTGACCTTCACCATTGTGGCTGGGAGGCCACGGCAGCGGAAACAGAAGACCTGGTTTCAGGTCTGGTTCTGAGAGTCAATAGCTGTGTGGCCTTGGTCATGCCACTTAACCTCTCCAAGCCTGTTTCATCACCCATCAGATTAGGATGATTCCCCTTGCCCATTCCATCATGGGATCCAATGAGAATCTACATGACAACCCTTCCAAAGCGATGAGGTGCCCTGCACGTATGCCATGATGGCATTCAGGCCACGCTTTGCTGGAGAGTACTATTCTCTGACTGAGATGTGGCCCTTTTGGGAGTTATCACTTCTGGCAGGCAGATTCCACTAAGCACATCGAAATGGCAAATGCTCATGATCTCGGGAGAGAGTCTAAACTCCCTGGTCCAGAAACAAGGACCCTCAGAAAAGTGGCCCTACCCACTTGGCCACCCTCTTCTCTCCAAACCTCACACCTCATCGCTCACCCCCATCACATTCAGGAGACCAGTAAATGGTACTGTCTCCTACACCAGGCCCTTGCACACCCATTCTTTCAGCCTGCCCACCTCGCCCTGTCCTCTACCCAGTTCCCTCCAACTCAGCCTACCCCTTCTGAGGAACCTCTGAGAAGCCATCAGCTGGACTTCACACCAGCTGCCCCCACAGCTCACTTCACTACAGAGAGTGGCCCTATTCCCTCAGACCTCAAGCTGCAGTAACTGCAATACGCAGCTTTCAGCTTCTCTGGCTCAACCCCACCTGCTCACCATGGTGGGAGGTCATAAATCATTCACTGAAAAGATATCAGAGTCCCTGGGGCAAGGTGGTCCCAGGTCAAGGTCTGGGGTGCTCAGTGGATGTAGGGGATAGACGGCTCTCGCAGCGCACCTTCTTCACAGAAAAAATAAATTAAGGTGGTAAAGCTCCGGTCTCCCCAGCTCCCTCACCAGGTGTGAGGCCTCAGGGCAGCTGCCCCAGTTATCTACCCAAAGACCAGAAGAGTTTCTCCAAAATGTCTGGCACAGAGATCAAAAAGGCAGTTCCCCACCATTCTGTTGTGTTCCTCTAACTCACTTCCTCACCCAGTTATGGCAACGCCTCTCTTAGCACAGCATGGGTGACCTATGGAGGCAGGAAAAGGCACAAGCAGACGAGGGGTGCAGTTTTCATTTGGAGGGTCTGGAATACAATGCCACAGTCCCTCCTTACTACTCAGAGTGGTCTGCACGACACTCTGTAAGGAGGTGTCCTGCCCATTCAGGGAGAGCTGAGAGGAAAAGTAAGAGGTTAGGTCTGCAGCGTTACTTCAAGCCCTCTCAAACACAGAACTACCCTAGAGTCATGTCCCTTGGGCTGATGTGCAAACGCCTTCAGCATGCATTTTATTATACAGTGTAAGGTGCTGAGCTGCTTCTGTCTATACATCTGGCACCTCTTCTTCTCCAGACTAAACCAAACAACTCACTCAGGACAGAACTAGCCATCCATCCAAAACAACACCAAGGGGCCGGGCGAGTGGCGCGATGGTTAAGAGCTGGCTTGGGATGCCAGAGGGCCGCGGTTTGGATCCCACATGTGAGGGCCAGTGACACTGCCCTCTACAGCTAAGATGCTGAACAACAGCTCAGCCTGGAGCTGGGCTGCCGTGAGTCGCCCGCGACGGCGTAGGCTGCAGTCCCTGTGGCAGTGGGTTGCCATGGGCTACCATGTGTAGCCAGCAGCTAGCATGAGCGGCTGTGAATGGCCATCCAGAAGCCGGCGACTGATTTGTCTCGCC